ACTGTTGTGAGACTCAGTGCTTTGACCGTCCTGCCATCTCCCTCCCACAGCACTTGCCACCTAGGACATGTTGAAATTGTTTCTTTAAATGCCTCCTTCCCCCAGGGGACCCAGTGTTTCTTGAGGAGAGGAACTATGCCCTTCATTTCTGTCTTCCTAGGAGCCAGCAGAGTAACTGGTACCTCGTGAGTCATTAGTAACATTTAAATGAATGAGTGAGCAAACGAATGAAAGATGTTTCTTGCAGAGATGATATCGGAGCATAAGCTGAGGTAGGAACCCAGGCAGCTTGGCCTAGATGAGAGGAAAGAAGACCTGAGGGAGATAGGAGAACCAGCTTTACACACACGACAGGCGGTGTGGACGAGATCGTAGGACAAGATCGTGCCTCTTCAAGTGGAAAGCCCGGACCCGTGTCTTCAACAAAAGAGAATCTAAGAGCTGTCTAAAAATAAAAGGAGCTACCTATTGGTCAGTGACCTTCCCATCTCTTCAGCCAGATGGCTTCTGGTGAGAATGTGGGAGAAGAGGTTCCTTCATCCAGCTGAAGGCTGAACAAGGGGGTTACGGAGCATGTGGCTGTGCCCAGTGCCCAGCACAGTGGTGGGCACATACAAGGCACTGCACATTTGTTGAACAAATGAAGTAACAGTCTTCTACTAACGGAAGATTCATTCGTCAAACATGTCTTAAGTGTTTTTGGTTTAGGTCTGTGCTCAGCGGCAGAGGATGCATCAGTGAAAAGGGTGACTCAGCCCCCATTATCAAGGGGGAATGTGCCATACTCCCCCTGGGAGCACAGGATGGAGCCACACTGCCTGGGTTCGAATCCCAGCTCTGCAAAATACTTTAGTTTTTTGTGCCTCAGTTTTCTCAACTGTAAAATGGGGATGAAATAGTACCTACCTCAAGGAATTATTTTGACAATTAAACGAACGACTATTTGGCATAATATCAACCACTCAAATGTTCATGATGATCATGGCACATGTTCTAGCAAGGGCTACAGCTATGTTACTGTCGTGTGATGGATGCTGAGGTGGGCATGTTTGGACCGAAATATGTGAGCACCCGGACAGGCTAATCACGGACACCCCATCAAATCAACATGTTCTAACTCTTTATTCAGCTTTTGTTAGAGGAGAGGCTGAGCACGTTGTGAGGCAGAATTGTGGCTCACCCACCAGGGTTTTTGTGATGGCACCTCCCTCTCACCCCAGAGCTGTCTCATGCAGCTAGACAGGGGTGTAGGGACCCTGTGGGGAGGGAAGGGCAGGGAAAGGAGCCTGCGGGTGTCAGCACTCAGCTCTGCACCCAAAGTCCACTCAGGCCCCAACACTGAGGTCCCCACTAGGCCAACCAAACCCTTGGAAGTTAAACAGACAAGCCACCCTTCAATGCTCATCTAGTGTCTCTCAAGCATGTCCCTTGGGGGGGTGTTGCCCCACCCCTGAGGGACTTGTCAGAATATTCTTCCTAACCACACAGAATACTTCCTAAGGGGATCCTAGGAGAATTTTTCTGATCTCATTACCTTCCCTATGATTTTTATTGCCTCTTACTGATCATCTGCCCGATCCTTAACCTCACCCTGCTGATGGGGGCTGACGGAGCGCCACGGCGGCTGGAGGGTGAAGGACACTGCGGGATGAGCGGTTAGCTGTGCAAAGAGGTGGCAGGGCCCGCTGCTCCAGGCAGAGGGAACAGCCATGCAAGGGCCTGAGGTCAATGAAAGCATGGTGCTTTTATTTATTTACTTATTTTTAATCCTCACCCGAGGATATTTTTCAATTTATCTTCAGACAGAGTGGGAGGGAGGGAGAGAGAGAGAGAGAAACATCAATGTGAGAGGGACACATCGATTGGTTGCCTCCCACACGACCCTGACCAGGGTTGGGGACAAACCGCAACTGAGGTACGCGTCCTTGACCGGAATCGAACCTGCCACTCATTGGTCTGTGGGCTGATGGTCTACTGCTGAGCCAAACTGGCCAGGGCAACCATGGTGCTTTTAGGGGACTAAGAATAGTTTAGTGTGGCTGGCACATAGGGTTTAGGGGATGTGATGTGGGGCGAGAGAGTGAGGAAGAGGCTGGAGAAGTATGCAGGGTCACGATTGAGAAGGGCACTGTGGCCAGTTTGCTCAGTGGTTAGAGCGTCCGCCTGTGGACATAAGTGTCACAGGTTTGATTCCCAGTCAAGAGCACGTACCTGGGTTGCAGATTCTAACCCAGTCCCCATTGGGGTCCTGTGGGAGGCAACCAATTGATTGTCTCTCTGACATGGATGCTTCTCTCTCTCTCCCTTCCTCCATCCCTCCCTTCTACTCTATCTAAATTAAAAGGAAAAAAATCAGTGGAAAAATATCCTCGGGTGAGGATTAACAACAAATTAGCAACAACAACAGAAAGATTGTGAAGGTCCTTGTAAATTGTGCTAAGGAGCTTAAACTTGATGCTGCACAGGGAATCTCTGAAGGGTTTTAAGGAAGGTGGTGCAATGAACAAGTTTTCCTTTTAGAAGGACCACGCTAGCTGTGGAGAAGGGATGCGGAGGGATGGGCGTGTGCCTGTGTGCATGCGCCAACTGTCTCCAACTAGAGTTGCTGGGGCAAGGATGGGCGGTGCATAGGACCAGAAGCAGGGAGGGTGGTTAGGAGGGTGCTGCAATACCTCCTGCAGAAATGAGGAGGCACTGAACTAAGGAAACAGCAGCATTGTGAATGGAGAGGGTTGTGAGTGAGTTTGAGAAGAATTAACAACCTCTTTCTACTGACTGGAAATTGAGGATGATATTTTTGGCTTCTCTGGTTCTTAGAGTATATACAAGGTATTAGGCAAGAACCAGGTGGCAAAAATGCTCCATATGGGATACCAGACCCTTCCCTCTTTATCTCCTTCTGGTATTGCCCCCACAATTTCTCTCTCTCCCTCTTTTTTTTTTTTTTTTACCTTTAAAAATCTTTCCTCCTACAGCATGCAGTAAAGAGTGTGGGTCTCAGAGTCAAGAGGATGTTAATCACAGCACTAATTAGGTATTTATTGCATTTATTTAAGGTATTTATTTTAACTTCTTTGAGCCTCATTTATTCAATTATAAATGGGGATAATTATAAATAGGGCTGGGATTATGATTCAGTGCAGGTTTTTTCATTTAGACCCCACCCAGTTCTCTCTGGAAGACGCCCCAATGGAAGGTGGCAAATGGCACCACCCTACAATCCATTTACCCAAACCAAATCATCACTCATCACTCCCCCTTTCCGCTTACCTTAACCACCCCTCACCCCCGAGTCACCTCACTTGTTGCTTTGATGGCAGCAGTAGCTTCTTCTTCATTAAAAAAAAAATTTTTTTAGAGAGAGAGGAAGGGAAGGGGAGGGAGAGAGAGAGAGAAACATGGACGTGAGAATAGAACATCGATGGGCTGCCTGAAGTGGGGGAATCGAGGTGCACCCCAGGCATGAGCCTTGACCAGGAGTCAACCGACCACCTTTTGGTGCAGAGGATGACGCTCAGCCAACTGAGCCACACCTGACAGGGCAGCAGGAGCTTCCCACTGGTCACCGGCTTCCACTTTCTTCCGTCCAGGATCCTTTCTCTGCTTACTCCATAGAGCAGCCAGGGTGGACTTCTTTGTTGTTGTTTGTTTGTTTTAAAACAGTTTTATTGAGCTCTGGCCGGTTTGGCTCAGGTTAGAGCGTCAGCCAGCAGATCAGAGAGTCCGGGGTTTGGTTTCCGCTAAGGGCATGTACTTCGGTTGCAGTTCGTCCCCGGCCCCAATTGGGGTCGTGTGGGTGGCAACCACTAGATGTGTCTCTCTCACATAGATGTTTCTCTCTCTCTTCCTCCCTCCCGCTCTATCTGAAGATAAATGCAAAAGCCCTGGCCAGTTTTGCTCAGCGGTTAGAGCGTCGGCCTGTGGTCCAGAGAGACCCGGGTTCGGTTCCTGCTAAGGGTGCATAACTTGGTTGCAGTTTGTCCCCGGCCCTGGTTGGTCATGCGGGTGGTAGCCACTCGATGTGTCCCTTTCATGTCGATGTTTCTCTCTCTCTCTCTTCCTCTCTCTCCCTCCCACTCTATCTGAACAAAATTGGGAAAATGTCCTCAGGTGAGGATAAAAAAAAAAAATGTCCTCGGGTGAGAATAAAAAAGAATAAAACAGCCCTGGCCAGTTTGGCTCAGCGGTTGAGCGTCAGCCTGTGGTCCTGGGTTTGGTTCCTGCTAGGGGCATGTACCACACACACAAAAAAATTATATATATATATATATATATATATATATATATATATATATATAAAACAAAAAATGGAAAAATGTCCTCGGGTGAGGATTAAAAAAAAACCTAAACTGTTTTATTGAGATGTAAATCACATACCATAAAATTCACCCTTTAATGTGTATAATTCACTTGGTTTCAATACATTCACAGAGTTATGCAACCATCACCACTATCTAATTTTAGAGTATTTTAATCACCTCTAAAAGAGGCCCCCTGCCTCCCCCAGCCCCTGGCACTCACTAATCTACTTTCTGTGTCTATGGATTTGCCTATTCTGGACATTTTGTATTAATGGAATCAAACAATATATGTTCTATTGTAGCTGACTTCTTTCACTTACCATAGTTTTTAAAGTTCATCCATGTTGTAGCATGTATCAGTATTTTATTCCTTTTCATAGCAGAATAATACTATATTGTGTGGATATCCTACCTGTTGTTTGCCCATTCATCAGCTGATGGGCATTTGAGTTGTTTCTACATTTTGGCTATCGTGAATAATGCTGCTATGAATGTTTGTGTATAAATTTTTGTGTGGACACATGTTTTCACTTATCTCGGGTGTATACTTAGGACTGGAATTGCTGATTCATGTTTATTTTTATATTTAACTTTTTTTTTTTTTAATCCTCACCCGAGGACATTTTTCCATATTTTGTTCAGATAGAGTGGGAGGGAGAGAGAGAGAGAGAAACATCGACATGAAAGAGACACATTGAGTGGCTGCCACCCGCACGACCCAGCCAGGGCCGGGGACAAACTGCAACCGAGGTACGTGCCCTTAGCAGGAACCAAACCCGGGTCTCTCTGGACCGCAGGCCGATGCTCTAACCGCTGAGCCAAACCGGTCAGGGCTATATTTAACATTTTTGAGGGGCTTCCAAACTATTTCCCAAAGTGGCTGTATCATTTTCTAACCCCACCAATAATGTATGGGGGTGCCAATTTTTCTACATCATTTGTTATTGTCTGTTTTTTTAATATACCCGGCCTGGTGGATATGAACTAGTTGTAGTTTTAATTTGCATTTCCCAAGGACTAATGAAGTTGAGCATCTTCTCATGATTATTGGTCAATCTTTAGAAAAAATGTCTATTTAAATCCTTGCCCTATCTCCCCTTTAAACTTTTCTTTATTATGATATAATATACATAACATAACAATGACCACTTTAGCTTACAGTTCAGTGGCATAAAATACATTCATGTCTTTGTGTAGCTGTCACCACACGCCATCTCTGGAACTGTTTCGTCCTCCCAAACTGAAACTCTGTCCCCATTACCTTCCCTCCTCCCGGTGCCTGGTACCATTACCTTCCCCCCTCCCGGTGCCTGGTACCATTACCTTCCCTCCTCCCGGTGCCTGGTACCATTACCTTCCCTCCTCCCGGTGCCTGGTACCATTACCTTCTGTCCTCCCAGTGCCTGGTACCATTACCTTCCCTCTTCCCGGTGCCTGGTACCATTACCTTCTGTCCTCCCGGTGCCTGGTACCATTACCTTCCCTCCTCCCGGTGCCTGGTACCATTACCTTCCCCTGTCCCGGTGCCTGGTACCATTACCTTCTGTCCTCCCGGTGCCTGGTACCATTACCTTCCCTCTTCCCGGTGCCTGGTACCATTACCTTCCCCCCTCCCGGTGCCTGGTACCATTACCTTCCCTCCTCCCGGTGCCTGGTAGCATCTGGGTTTGTTTGGTTTTTAATAATAGCTATACTAATGGATGTGAAGTGATATGCCATTATGGTTTTGATTTGCCCTAATGATTAGTGATGCAGAGCACCTTTATGTTTGCTTATTGTGTATAATTTTTGGAGAAATGACTATTCATGTCCTTTGCCCTTATTTATTTATTTATTTTTTATTTTCTTAATCTTCACCCAAGGATACTTTTCCATTTTTGTTCAGATAGAGTGGGGGGGAGAAAGAGGAAGCAAGGGAGAGAGAGAAACATTGACATGAGAGAGACACACTGAATGGCTGCCTCCCCCACAACCCCAACCAGGGCCGGGGACAAATCGTAACCGAGGTACGTGCTCTTATCTGGAATAGAACGTACAACTCACTGGTCTGTGGCTAACACTCCAACTGCTAAGCCAAACCAGCCAGGGCCTCTGCCCTTTTTTTTTAATCTTCACCTGAGGACATTTTTCCATTTTTTGTTCAGATAGAGTGGGAGGGAGAGAGAGGAAGAGACAGAGAGAGAGAGAAACATCGACGTGAAAGGGACACATCGAGTGGCTGCCTCCCACATGATCCAACCAGGGAGGGACAAACTACAACTGAGGTATGTGTCCTTAGCGGGAACCGAACCCAGGTCTCTGGACCACACGCCAGTGCTCTAACCGCTGAGCCACACTGGCCAGGGCCTTTGTCCTTTTTAAATTGGATTATCTGTTTTTTTGTTTTGTTTTTTTTAGTTTATAAGAGTTCTTTATATATTTTGGATACAAATCGCTTATCAGATATATGATTTAAAATATTATTTCCAATTCCATGGATTGTAATTTTACTTTCTTGATGGTATACTCTGCACCAGAAATGTTTTTAATTTTGAGAATTCCAATTTATCTGTTTCTTTTTTTTGCTGCTTGTGTTTGGTGTCATAGCTAAGAAACCACTGTCTAATCCAAAACTTTACTCTTATGTTTGTTTTTTTAGATGGTATATCATTTTAGTTCTTATATATTTATGTTTCTGATCCATTTTTGAGTTAATTAGCACGTATGGTGTGAGGTAGAGCCAGGGCGATCTTTCAAAATCACAAACCAAATTCTGTGACTCTCCCCGCTTAAAATTCGTTACTGGCTTCCCACCGATACTACAACACGATCCAAGTTCTCAATACAGGGTCTTCATTCTCCCCTCCTTCCCCTGCCCCCCAAGCCTGCACACTTGTTTGCCGCAGCCATAGCCACCTGCTAATAGTTCTTAATCATGCAGACTCCTTCCTGCCTCGATGTTTCACGCTGCTGTCCTCACAGCTAGAGCTCAGAGTGGTGGCCACTCCTCTTCTTTGGTCTCAGTTTTTTTGTTTTTATCCTTACCCGAGGACATTTTTTCTTTTTTGTTCAGATAGAGTGGGAGGGAGAGAGACGAAGAGACAGAGAGAGAAACATCGACGTGAAAGGGACACATCGAATGGCTGCCTCCCGCACGACCTAACCAGGGCCGGGGACAAACTGCAACCGAGGTACGTGCCCTTAGCGGGAACCGAACCCAGGTCTCTCTGGACCGCAGGCCAACGCTCTAACCGCTGAGCCAAACTGGCCAGGGCTCTTTGGTCTCAGTTTTAAAGAGCCTTCTTCAGTAAGACCTTTGCTGATCACTCCATCTAAAGTAGGTCTCCCCCAATTCCCTTATTCCTTTATTTGTTTCCTTGATAGTAATGTTAAAAACAAAATTCAATTGAATAAAATTAAAACATTTTATTGGATTTGTTCAACGATTAAACATTGGGCAGCATCCAATCTAGCAGATAGAATGAAGCTCTGAAGAGATGTACAAAATGAAAGATTTTACAGGCTGAAGAGAGCAGGAGAAGGGAGGTTACACTAGGCAGAAACAGTGCACTGGTTACGCACAGGTCATTTTCCTTTAGAGGACACAGAAGTTCATCAGGCAGATTACCTATCTAGTGCTAATCAGGAGATTACCGATTGACTGGTTTAAGATTCCATTTCTTGGGCAGAGGACCTGAACAGACATTTGTTCAAGAAATACAGATGGCCAACAGGCATAGGAAAAGGCGTTCAGCATTACTAATCATCAGAGAAATGCAAATCAAAACCATAAAAGATATTACCGTACACCTGTCAGAACTGCTATTATCAAAAAGTTAACAAACAGCCAGTGTTGGCGAGGATGTGGAAAAAGGGAACCCTTGTGCACTGTTGGTGGGATTGTGTACTGGTGCAGCCACTGTGGAAAGCAGATGGAGGTTCTTCTCAAAAATTAAAAAGAGAACTCCCACATGACCCAGCAATTCTACTTCTGGGTACTTATCCAAAGAAAACAAACACACTGATTCAAAAAAATATATGCACCTCCATGATTATTGCAACCTTATTTACAATAGTCAAGATATGGAAGCCCATTGATAGATGAATGGACAAAGAAGATGTGGTCTATATATACCATGGAATATTACTCTGCGATAAAAAAAAAATGAAATCTTGCCATTTGTAACAACATGGATGGACCTAGATACTATGCTAAGTGAAATGTCAGAGAAAGACAAATACCCCGTGATTTCACGTATATGTGGAATCTAAAAAAACAAAATAAGTAAAACTAAAGAGAAACAGGACTTCCAGTCAAGAAGGCGGGTAGGTAAACGCGGTCTCCGTCCTCCCACAACCACATCAAAGTTACACCTAAACTACAGAACAACCACATTCAAAACCGCCTGAAATCAAGCTGAATGGAAGTCCTACAACTACGGAATTAAAGCAACAGACACATCCAGACTGGTAGGAGGGCGGAGGGGATGGGCTGGACCCACATCCACATGTGGCGGATAAAAATCAGGAGGACACCCCGGCTGGGAAGGTCCTCCCTGAGGACTGAGGGGTCCCCTCCCACACCAGACACCCTGCTCAGGGTTCCAGTGCCAGGAAGAGAGTCCCCATAACTTCTGGCTGGAAAACCAGCGGGAACTGAGGCTCAGGGAGGCTGAAGAGGCTGGAGCCCCAGGCAGCTCCTTAAAGGGCCCGTGCACGGACTTATCGGACTCTCTCCCTCTAAGCTCAGAGGGGAGGCAGCTCGAGGGGCACCAGAGACACACAGGGAAGAACTGAGCTGTTTGGCACTGGAGCGAGGGCTGAAGAGGTGGCTTTCTCCGGGACAAACGTGCTGTCAGAGGCCTTTGTTCCTTTGGTGAGCCCTTCCCAGGGGCAGCAGACAGCCACCATATCTGGGACTCCAGCAACCTGGCTCACACTGGTAGCCCCACCCTGCTGACTCCCTGAGGCCCCGCCCCACCCCACCCAACTTTCAGGCCCACCCAAGCTGTTGCCACTTGCTTAACCATAGGATTGGCCTGTCTTGGATCCTGCTTCAGGTTTTTACTAAATTCTTTCAGACAAGCAGCATCTGGTGTCAGCTAGCCCCATACTGCTTGTTAAATAATACACAGAAACAAACACAGGGAGGCAGCCAAAATGAGGAGACAAAGAAACAGGTCCCAAATGAAAGAACAGAACAAAACCCCAAGAAAAGAACTAAGCGAAATGGAGATAAGCAACCTAACAGATGCTGAGTTCAAAATACTGCTTATAAGGATGCTCAGTGAACTTAGTGAGAACCTCAGTGAACTTAGTGAGGGCCTCAAGAGCATAAAGGATCAGTCAGAAATGATGGATGCATAGTCAGAAATGAAGGAGGCATTAACTGAAATCAAGCATAATTTACACAGATTCAATAGTAGAGTATGTAAATCCAAGAAGCAAACCATCAATTTGGAATACAAGGAAGCAAAAAACACCCAATCATAACAGCAAAAAGAAAAAAGAATCCAAAAAAATGAGGGTAGTGTAAGGAGCCTTTGGGACAACTTCAAGCATGCCAACATTCGCATCTTGGGGGTGCCAGAAGGAGAAGAAAGAGAACAAGACATTGAAAACCTGTTTGAAACAATAATGGCAGAAAACTTTCCTAACTTGGTGAAGAAAACAGACATACAAGTCCAGGGAGCACAGAGAGTCCCAAACAAGATGAACCCCAAGAGGCCCACACCAAGACACATCATCATCAAAATGCAAAAGGTTCAAGACAAAGAGAGAATCTTAAAAGCAGCAAGAGAAAGGCAGCTAGTTACCTACAAGGGAGTTCCCATAAGGCTGTCAGCTGATGTCTCAAAAGAAACTTTGCAGGCCAGAAGGGAGTGGCAAGAAATATTCAGAGTGATGAAAAGTAAGAACCTACAACCAAGATTACTCTATCCTGCAAAGTTGTCGTTTAGAATCGATGGCCATATAAAGAGTTTCCCAGACAAGAAAAAGTTAAACCGTTATTATATGAAATGATGAAGGGTCTTTTTGAAGAAAAAGATAAAATATATGAACCAACAAAATGGCAATGAATACATATCTATCGACAATGGAATCTACAAACAAAATGAACAGGCAGAACAGAAACATTCTCATAGATACAGAGAACATTTTGTTGGTTGCCAGATGGGAGGGGTGTTGGGGGAATGGGTGAAAAAGGTGAAGGGACTAAGAAGTACAAATTCATTGCTAGACTGACAAACCTCAAAGGGAAGGGGGTTGGGGGGTGGGAAGAAATAAACCAAAGAACTTATATGCATAACCAATGGACACAGACAATAGTGTGGGAAAAGGTGGGAGGGGGGCGGGAGTGGGGAGGAGGGGGTCAATGGGGGAAAAATGAGGAACATCTGTAATACATTCTACATTCAACAATAAAGATTAAAAAAAAAAAACTAAATAGAAACAGACTCATAGGTACAACTGATGGTAGCCAGAGGAGAAAGGGTGGGGCATGGGTAAAAAAGGTAAAGGTAAATAAGAGGTACAAACCTCCAGTTATTTAAAAAAAATAATAAGTCACAGGGATGTAATGGCAGCATAAAGAATATAGTCAATATTATTGTGATAACTTTAAATGGTGGCAGATGGTTACTAGACTTATTGTGGTAATCACATTATAAGGAATATAAATGTCAAATCACTATGTTGTACACCTGAACTAATATAATATTATATGTCATCTATTCTTTAATTTTTTAAAATGCATCTTGGGTTAAAAAAAAAAAGATTCCCTCTCTGGTAGAGCAGGAACCTTAATTAGGTTATCTCTCAGTTTGGTGACATGGAGCTTAGCCTAAGTGACTCCATTTGGGGCCTGTCGTCTTGTTTTTAGCAATAATTAACAAAGGCTGTATTCATTTTGTTTATTTGCTTACTTGTTTATTGCTCCTCTTCCTCATTTTAGCGAGGACCATGTCTGTCTTATTTACCTTTATCCCCGGCACCTAATACAGTGCCTGGCACATAACAGGTGTTCAGTAAATATTTGTTTTAAGAAAGTAAAAACAAAAAGCAGTTTTTCTTCCATTCCCAGCATCCTTTTCCACTTTTGCCCATTCTATCACACTCATCTTTCATCACCTTTTCCTGTAATTTCTTCCATTTCCTGTTTTCATGGAATATGGTATTATGAAATCGAACATCCGTTTTTGCTTCTTTGTTTCTTTTGTTTTCTTTTCTTTCCTTTTCTTACTGCTCATAGCATCTAAAAACCAGTGTCGAGATTTAGCTCTCTTGCCCACAACAGCTTTTTTCTTTTCTGAAACTTTCTTAGTAGAAACTCAACATTAAGCTCTTTTGGACTTTTCTTTACTCTTAATTTATTGATTTTAGAGAAAGAGAGGAAGGGGAGAGAGGGTGAGAGAGAGAGAGAGACATGGATTTGTTGTTCCACTTATTTATGCATTCATTGATTGATTCTTATATGTGTTTTGATCAGGAATTGAACCTGCAACCTTGGTGTATCAGGATGACGCTCTAAACAGCTGAGCAACCCAGCCAGGGAGATCTTTTCTTATGTTTCAGTATGAATAAGACTTTTCTCCTCATTGCAGGTGAAGACTCTCTAAGAAGAGAATTTCTTTTCTAACTCTTGGCTGAGTTCTGGGCAAGTAAATCTCGATAAACACTAGGGAGTTGATCAGCAGCACTTCTTAAAACCATATAAGACTCAGGTATGCTATGCTTAAAATGTCAACAAGTCCCAAACTGGTGCATTCTGAAACAGTTACAACCCTACAGCATGCAACATTTAATTAACCAAGCACTGTGTAGAAATTCTATTGGAAGTAATCACCTAATAATAATATGTGTTGGCAAAAATCCTGCAGAAGAATTTCTTATAGATAGATAACTCCCTGTTTAAATGGAGGAACTGGGGCCCTTCAGTGACATATCTCTACACACATTTCTGCTTCATATCAATCCAGCAAGATTATCATCATAAAAAAAGAAGATGCTTTTATCTTAATGTTAAGCTCTGCTCCCCGCATGGATAGAAATTCTCTGGATGAAGGCGGCGGCTACCATTTCACCCAAAAGCCTCACATTCCGGAATATATATATATTTTTTTTAGTTTGCCATCTTGCTTATCATTTACAGATATCCAAACACCTAAGAGGTGAGCCCAAAAGATGATTGAAATTTTTGATCCAAGAACTAGCTCACACATTTGTTTTGCTTTGCTCTAATCTTCAGAGCTGTATATCATGCTGACAGGTCCCAGGTTTTTAAAAACCAGATTTTCCTTTGGGCTTCTCCCACCCCTCTTTGTTGTGGTAATATTTTCTCCTATCTTCCATCTTCTAAAAAAAGTAGGTGTAACAGTCTAATCAGCCTTTACCAACTTTTCTGCAAGAACAAGGCAGAAAATATGAAGATATAAATCAAGAATTGTTATTATTGTTTATGTAGCAGTGATATATGGTTTCACTGGGCTTTGTGTTTTACGTGGCCACTTTGAAAACACAGAACGCTGCTCAGGCACAAGCGATTTGTTTCTGAGCCCTGTGCTTGGATGTTTCTAATAAATATTATTCTGTCTCTGATTTTACGATATCAACAAGATACCCATGCAATAAAATATTTTCAGATTCCTGGTGTTAGGTATACATTGTCAAACAAAGATAATGTCCCTAAACTTCAAGAACAGTAGGTAGAGAAAACATTCAGCATAAAATAACGAAATATTTGTAAATCATCATAATTGATTGTGTATGGGACAATGTCTAGAAGGATGTATGTATCAGTATATTAAGCCAAGTTTTTTCTGGGTGGAAAAATCAGAGGTGATTATTTTAATTTTCTTTTTCTTTTTTTGCTTATCTATATTAATTTTTTTAAGTGTGAATGTATATTACTTTTGAAATAAAAAAAAAATATCGCCCTGGCCAGTTTGGCTCAGCCATTAGAGTGTGGGCCTGCAGACCAAAGAGTCTCAGATTCAATTCCGGTCAAGGGCACGTGTTGTGATTCGGTTCCGGCCCTGGTTGCCTGGTTGGGGTCGTATGGGAGGCAACCAGTTGATGTGTCTCTCTTACATCAATGTTTCTCTCTCTCTCTCTCTCTCTCTCTCTCTCTCTCTCTCTCTCTCTCCCTCCCTCCCTCCCTCTTACTCTATCTGAAGATAAATGGAAAAAAATATCCTCGGGTGAGGATTTAAAAAAAAGAAATAAAAAATCTTTTTCAAAGAATAGTACATAGGAAAAGTTGATAAAACTAAGTATGAAAATAGAATGAGCAACATTCCTTAATGGAAAATAGGGAGGATAGCTTCTGAGAAAGTGAAAATCTGATTTATCTTCTATTAATCTCTGAGTTCATATTATGCACATTTTCTTTAGCTTTAATCAAAACACCCTCGTCCACCCCCACCCCCGTAGCTAAGCCAGGCCACTGTGCCCACAGCCTCATGCTAGGAAACGCAAGTGGCAGATGCTCTTCTTCCCCAGTGGAAAAATAGGCTTCTCATTTGATTCCCACGGGACTGGCTCCTACTCCAATTCTATTTCCACCTGGCTCCTGTCCTGACTTTTTCTTCTGTCTAAAGCCACGTGAATTCCCTCAGAACACCCTAAAGACTTGGTCTGAACTCAGCCTCCTAGCTCTGCAGGGTGGTGACTTCATTCAGCCCACAAACCCATGTGATAGATCCCATGCCCTCCCACCCTACCCCAGCTCCTTCCCCCATGGTCTTCTCTCAAGATGGTCAAAGAAGACACGATTGGAAGCTCTTTCTTTATTATTACAACCCCACCATTTCACCTCTTAACGCCTCATCTTGCAATCTTATCTGGAAAATGAAGAACTTAGGTGAAATGACAGAGAAGGCTGGACCAAAAGATAGAATGTTGTAGTGGTTAGAACAGTGGCCTCTGGTATTCAGCTGTATGAACCAGAACTATCTTCATACATAGTCATGGCTAGCGTCTGTACTGACTGGTCAGTACCCATGCCTTATCAGTCCTTAAATATTTTGATATGCTCAGAGTAAAATTGTAGTATTGAAAATGGACTTACAAGAGACTTGAACCTGAGTATGATTTAGGGCCAGCTTTGGTTTATCCATTGGGAACATGAGAAGACTACTACCGCCTTGTCCACTTCCGAGAGTTGCTGTGATGATCAAGTTGTCATAGCGGATGCGGAAGTTCCTTGTAAATTGTGAGAGACTGTGCACAGGCAAGGAATGATGATAAAAATAATCAATAATGATAACAATGTTGGTGGCGAAGGTCAAGGTGATGGTGATAATAAAGAATAAAAAGAAGACAAACTTGGGAACTCCAGGACTATCCTTTTCTAGTTCAATATGCTACGAACATTGCTCCCTGGATCACGATGCACAGTAACAGACAGAAGCATATAAACTGGCCACATCAACCCTCTCTGGTTTATGTTATCAAAGCCCGGGTTGTTTACTGGCCTAGTGCTGATAGGCATTTCCTTTTGTCCATGGGCATTCATTCCATGATTTATTTCATATCCTGGCTGGGAAACCTTCTATGTTGTAATTCCCAGTATCAGGGACAGCTCTTGATGTCCATTTAATGATCTGCTAGGACCTGGAGCCAACAAAATGGAAATGTGCACTCATCCCTGTAGGTTCCTGCACCCCTACCCAGCGTAGTCTGAGCTGAATTCTCATGTGCCCCCTTCTGATACATGTCCCATGATCCTCAGACCCACTCTGCAAGTGTCTTGGATGAGCTGTTGGCGTGGCCAGGTGGAGTTAGTAATTGACTGCTTCCTTCCCTCCCTCCCTCCCTCCTTTCTTCCCTTTCTTGTTCTTCCTGCCACCCCCCCCCCACTCCCCACCCCATTCAGACTCTGGGTCTGTGCTGAGTCATGTAAGATGCTTTTGGCTGACCTTGACAAGAGCCCCCACCCTGCCTCCGAGAGAGGCGCAGAAGAGCTCCGTGGAGTCTATTCCAACAGAGGCCGCACATGCTCGCAGAATAATTGGTTCCTGTAATTCATTCAGAGCAATGGCTGGGTGACAGGGAGGTTTAAATCCTGTGGCCTTGAGGGAAAAACATTCTCTAGAATGGTTTCTCTTTGCTTTTGTTAATTGCGAAATAAACATACTTCCTGCAGAGGAGGCTGCCTCTGGGTGAGGGCTTCTCTGTCCCTTCAACATAGTAAATGGCCTCTGGGACCCTCTGTTCCCCCTTTCCCTTTGGGATCAGATACTTAAAAGCTGCACAGCGTGTAAGACAGTGGGGAGAAGATATGAGGAGCCAGGCTGAAACACTCCTAAAGCCCTCTCATACACAGAGCGAGAGCAGGGCTGTGGGTTAGGGGTGAAGTGGGAAGGGGTCATTTTACAATGGCTTCACAGTCACGAAAGGCCTCCAGTTGCACTTTATACAATCTCTCTAAGTGAGATCTGGCATATAGTCACAAAAACACGCCAACAGGGGTCAACCATGAAAAATCACAATTTCCACTTAATCCGGTTTTGACATTTCTTAATATACAGGGAGACTCTCTTGATGACAGATGCTGGATATAACCAAGAAGCAACCACACGGACTGTTTGGGCTTCCGTTTACTGGAGTAATTATTCTACCTGGATGTGACCATCTTGACAGTCCTGTGAAGTTGGTACCGATATCAGCTCCGTTTCACAGATGGGGAAACTGAGGCCTTGTTCAAGGTCACAGCTGGGAAGCTGTGAAGCTGGGGTGCAAATCCAGGCTGGTCTTTCTGTCCTTCCATTGTTAATGACAACACAGCGCATCGTTTTATAGCTAAGCTTGTACTTATTCATCCATCATGGGCTCCTGGGATCATCTTCCTGGTGGCATCTTTCCCAGGGATGGTCCTGCTAGAGCTGTCAAGTGGGGCTTAGGTTTATGCCTGGGTTAAAAATCCTCTAAAACTCCTTTTGGAGCATCTGAGGCGTCTGATGCCTTGATTGCCCTGGGTGACATCATGTTTAAGTTAGTCTGACCTCCCTGAGCTCATTTCTTTGTCCTGGTCACCTCTGCTTCCATCAAAAATAACAGGTTGCTGATAAGATGGCTCTCAGCTTCCCTGCGCGGATGGTGGACTCTGAATCTGCACTCAGAGGAGGTCTCTCAAGTTCAAAAAAGCCCTCATGCTCTGTATTTTGACAGGTTGAGAAATCCAATCCATTTATTTTGAAAACCCATTAAGCCCGGGCAGTATGGGATATTTAGAAAGGCCAGAATTTTGCTTCTGGTCAGAAGGTCAGTGCTGTCATAAAATAACAGCTAAAGGAAGCAAAACAAAACATATTTTATTATACGGCTGTTATTCCCAAACATTCCTTAAAAATATACTTTCAGTTAAAATAAGACAAAATAAAAACACAGCACATTGAATTGCCGGAAATTGCCACCACTCTAACCTCTTTGTTCCGAGTACTTACTCAATTTTGCACGCCCAGTTCTCAGACCAGGACAGCCACATAGTAAATGCTCAATAAGTGTTCAATAAACGAGCCTCAAAACGGTTTACTTCGCTATTTAATATTTTTTTCTAGACATTATTTTTTCTTGTTCCCAATGGCTGTTAAATCATCCTCAAGAAGAGAAGATCTGATTTTAGTTCTCTGGGGTTTTGGAAAGTGAATTTCAGAAAAAGTAAGTTTGATTCTTCTTGGCATCTTGAATTATATTATTGATGGTACAGGTAACAGGGTCTTATGGTCAGACTCTCCGAAGATAATTTATTTGATCCTTTTAACCTTGTGAAGGAGTCATGGGAGATGTTATTATTTTTGTGTTACCCCTAGGAAGGGTGGGTGAGTACAGACCATTACCTGAAAGAAAATAACCTCACTATTAGGTGACTCTGAACACAAATAATATTCAGAAGATGGTGCAAAACATTCTTGTACTTTCCTGCTGAGTTATTCTCCAGTCCACATACTGTCCCCCTTTAATGGGTATCTTGTTGACCCTCTTTTTGCATCTCCCCTCCCTCTTCTCTTACCACAATCTCCTCTATCTTCTCCACCCCATCTCTCCACGAGCCACCTCGAAGTATCACCAGAAGACCCTCAAGGTTCTAAGCATCGCTCCGGCCTTTGCCCCAGTGGCATATAGCAGGCCCTAATCCCGCATCCCAAGATTTGGTTTATAGACAGAGGGAGCAAATATATGGTCTGGGACCAGAGCTGACTCCAGGGGTCTGGAAGTATACCCAATAAATAGGGCACATTCTCTGCCTGATCTGTGAGCCTACTGGGAAGAAAGAACAAAGAGCAAGCTGATGAAGGTGATGCATCGCCTTAATGAGAAGTGGATACTGGGGAATATGGCTTACAGTGGAAAGCCAACAGGTCTCTAACATGGAATCCACAGTTTGAGACTTACCCACACTGGACTGGGGTAGGCTCCCTTCACCAGGGCAGAACCCTGTGGGTAGGTAGCTCAAAAGGGAAAGGGAGAGAAAGGCTCTGAATTATAAACACCCAGTTCCTACTTCCAAACCTATCCATCAGGTGAGTTATTTTTCCCCACTGGGGGAGGAAGAGTGGGTAGAGGCCAGGTGATACTCTTATAGATGTCTCTTCTCATGAGAAATGATCAAGAAAGGAAGTCGTTCCCCTTGACACAGCATATTGTATTGACTCACACCATTTCCCAAAAGTTGGAGTAGGTAACATTTAAAATGAGATTTTTGCATAAAAGTCAGTATTTCTGGCATTTCTCGAAAAGTGGAATGATTTATCGGTGACGAACCTGTGTTCCCATGTGGCAACAATAGTTTAGAGCTGAGTCATGGCTGCTGCCCTTTAGGCAGGGCTGTGTTTGAGCTCATCAAGGACCCCAGTCCCTGTTGTATAGATATCGCACACTCTCTCTGATTTCACTCATTTGTATTTCCTGCCTGGTCCTTCCAGGAATTTTAGTGTGTATCCTCTGCTTTACCTGTGTAAGTCTAGAGTGGAGTTTCTACAGCACCTCTTATTCCACCCGCCAATCTGTAGGATATACCTGTTCTTTCCCTACGAACTTGGCATAAACCAGAGGGGAAGAGGGTTGCTGTGATGGATGAATGGATGACTAGATGGATGGATGGGTGGACCAATGGACTGATGATTCAACTCAAGGAGTTTTGAGAGCCTCTTCCATGTGTTTTCAGAAAAAGAAAAAATGTGGTTTGTTTTTAGAGTCCTACTTTTCTTTTTTAATTTTTTTTATCCTCACATGAGGACATTTTTTCCATTTTTTGTTCAGAGAGAGAGAGAGAGAGAGAGAGAGAGAGAGAAAGAAACATCGACATGAAAGGGACACATCGAGTCGCTGCCACCCGCACAACCCAACCAGGGCCGGGAACAAACTGCAACTGAGGTACATGCCCTTAGCAGGAACCGAACCCGGGTCTCTCTGGACCCCAGGCCGATGCTCTAACCACTGAGCAAAACCAGCCAGGGCTAGAGTCCTACTTTTAACACCTCTAGTTCAAATATCAAGGCTGAAAAAGCAGAGATTGTCTATCTCTAATAAAAGGAAGCAGAGGTTAAGAGCATGGGTGTTGGAGCAAATGTGATCCTTATTAACATCTTTGAGACTTCATTTCTTCCTGTATAAAATGATAATAATAATAGTATCTTTCTCAAAGGTGCTTGCTATTAGAATGAAATTAAATAATTTTTGGAAAATACCAGTAACTCAGTGCCTGGAAAATATGAAGCATGTGGGATATGCTAACCCTGATTCAACCGAGAGAAATCTGTTTCACACTGAGCACGTACGACATGCTTAGCTCTAGCACAGGGATCAGGTGTGTGTTTGTGGATACTAACGGGATTTGGAGGATGGGCCTCTGCAGAATATAGTTCTGAGATAAAGTACAAGGACCTGCTGATGTAACCAGAATGGACTATCCTGAGATACCTTTTGGGGAGTGGTTGGAAGGGGAGAACGCTACTCTGGCTGGAGCTGTCGAGAAAGGGAAGAATAGGTAGAAGGAAAAAGGAGTTGGGAGGTTCCAGGTCAGGGAAACCACAGGAAAGGGACAAAGCAGGCCACAGGAAGGAAGGCGATGGATAGAACTGGAGCTGCCGGTCAATTTCCTTTTACCCCTGATCCAGGGAACTTCCAAGAAGCAGATTCTGCACTAAGAACTTTCAGCTGAGTCCTGTCCCTTGCTGGCTCCTTCACCTGGCCTTAGTCACTGAAACCGCTCTGAGCCTCAGTTTTTCACCTGTTAAACAGGAAGCATTCCGTGAATCTCATTCGGTATTGTGACGCTGATGAGACGGCCCAGGTGGAGGGCCTTTGGTGAAGGGAAAAGCTCTGCACAAATATAAGGGCTGGTTGCTGATGGCTTTCCCACCTGATGGTCACAGTGGGCTGTTTCATACCCTAAGTGAATCATTTCCCTGCTGAAAACTCCTCCAATGCTTCCCTGCTGCGTGTGGAATCCAAGCCTTTTACTCTGGCCCATGGGACCCAGGCACCCACCCACCTTTGTTTACCACGTTCCAGCCATACTGGCCTTGCTGTCCCACCAAAGGCAAAGCCATTCCTACCTCGGTGCCTTTGTACTCGCCAGCATGTCTGCTAGAAGCTCGAGTCTGGCTCCCTGTTCTCATTCAGGTCCCGTCGCTGACGTCATCTGCTCAGAGAGGCTGTCCTGGGCCACCCAGTCTGAGGTATCATCTGTTCCCATCCCACCCTCACTACTCTCTGTCACCTTGTTTCATTTTCCCTGTGTTGTTTATTACTAACCAAACATACCACGATCATTTAGTGTTTACTTGTTTGTTGGCCGTTCTCCCGTCTCCCCCATACAAGTTCCTTCCAGAAAGATTGAGTGAGTCTTGTTCACAGCTCTCCCAGTGCCTTGGATAGAGCCTGACACCCAGAGGGGCTCAATAAAGATGTATTGGCCAAGCTGAACTACAGTCCTCCAACCCCCAACACTTTTCAACCAACAAGTTCTATTCATGGGGGAAATATTTACAATCACCACAGACTTCTAACCGAGGAGAGTTCTGAATCATATGGCACGCTTTTAACTCCTGCTATATGTGAAGATCACGAATACTGAGTCAGAATATTACCGAAAAGAAGGCAAAACAAGAAGTTTGGTCTGTCTCCTTCAACACCAGTCGTCAAAGGAAAGTGCATCAAGCTCACAGCTGTGTGCTCAGAGGAGGGCAGGGGCAATGGGCATTTAAAAGGAAACTAGTGGGCGGCAAGTGGGACTCTCAGAGCAGCAAAGCCAAGGAGGCCAAGAAGGCCTTTGCTGGAATTGGCAGGCAGCAGCTGGTTGGTGAGGTAATTTGTGCCTGGCTGGCCCTGCCCACTGAGATGTCTGTCGGAGGGAGGTGTTGACAGATCTGTGATGCCCCATGCTGTTCTGCAAACTGCTGCTGCTGCTGCTGCTGCTTAATGAGCTGGTCAGCCATTAAAGGCCTCCCACACAATGGCAGCATTTGCAAATTGAGCAGCTGAAGGAACATACTGGAAAGCAGAGTTTGAGTCTTGACCGAAGTCCTCCATATCCTGTCCACTCCACCTATCTCTTTGACCTTAACTCCTAACATTCTCTCTGTTCACTTTGCTGCACCCACACTGGCCTTCTTGCCTTTCTCCCAAATACCAAGGGCATGCCTACCTCAGGACCTTTGCACTACTGTTTCCTCTGCCTGGAACTCTCTCCCCTCACACTTTTGCCTGGCTGGCTTCCTGACTTAACTCATGTTTCTGCTTCAATGTGGCCCCCTCAGAGAAGCCTTCTCTAGCCACCCTATCTAAAAAGATCACCTGTCCTCCAGCCACACTCAAGTTCCTGATCCCCACTAGTTTTTCTTCAAATGAAGCTGAGAGCTGATATTTATTTATTTATTTATTTGCTTACTGTCTATCTCCAATCTACCAGCTACTCCTAAAAGTCTAGTGTAAGTTTCTGGAGAGCAGGGACCATGTCTGTCTTGCTTTGCACTGCTAAGTTAGAACCATGCCTAACTTAGAACATCAGTGACAAGTATCAATCCAATTAATGAATGAATAAGGTTCAGGTTCAGAATGCACTGGGTTAGGAAGGCATTGAATACCAGAGGTGAGTACAAAACACCAGGGGGTCCAGGGTAGGGAGGGGTGATGACTGTAGGTATTAAAGCAGGTTGAAGCCTGGCCGGTGTGGCTCAGTGGTTGAGCCACATGTACCAAGAGGTCGCTGGTTCGATTCCCAGTCAGGGCACATGCCCAGGTTGTGAGCCAAATCCCCAGTGGGGGACATGCAGGAGGTGTTCTCTCTCATCGATGTTTCTATCTCTTTCTCCCTTTCCCTTCCCCTCTCTCTCTAAAATCAATAAAGAAAAATCAATAAATAAAAAATATAGCAGGATGAAGAGGAGCATTTTAAGAGCTTTATAGGATCCAAGCATATACATCCCACACTAGGCATATTTCGCAGACAAGATTTTGATAATTGTCACTTCTGAAATCATTTGGTTACAAATACATTTGTTAAATTAATTAAACAAGG